GCGTTTAGATCTTGGATTTGAATTCTATTTTATGTCTTTGTGTGTTTAAATGCATATTATATTTTAATACTGATTATAAATTATTCCACTTCCTAGTGCCAGAATTTGATTCAGATCATGAAGTCTGACCCTGACCCACTTAGCAGAGTTGGTTTAGAAGAGTCCAATCACTGCTCACCATGCCAGTCGCGGAAGAAAAGTTCAGTGGTGCTCACCTCTCAGTCATCAAATGTAGGTGTTTTCCTTCACACCTATAGGGTCTTTCATTGTTCAAAGATGGTTTGTGGAGTGTTGTAAGCTGTCTCAGAGGTGATGCTGGGCAACAGAGACTCGAGACTTGTTTTCACACTGGGTCCCAGTCTATTTGTATATGTTCTTTCTTTTTTTTTTTTTGAGTTGTATGATACTTATTTTTTCTTTTTTTTTTTTTTTTTTTTTTTTTTTTTTTTTGTAGAGATGAGGTTTTGCCATGTTGCCCAAGCTGGTCTCAAACTCCTGGAACCAAGCAATCCCACTGCTTTAGCCTCCCAAAGTGCTGGGAGTATAGGCATGAGCCACAGCACCCAACCCCCATTTCCATTTTGAACAGAGATGAGAAATTGCTACTAAGTGACAGACAACACAAATAAAACAGCTAATAGCTTCTGAACTAATAAAATACATTATTTCCACTATATACCACAAAATTCCATAATGATTTCAATCCTTTACCAAATATCCCACTGCAATATTAAGAATGTCAAAAACCCATCAACCAATATAATGGCTTCTTATAGTCAAAATTTAAATTAAAGGTAACATAACGAGACTAAAGATATTTAAATCTTTGTCTTAAGCTTTCAATAAATATTTCTAATTTTTCTGTAGTTTAAACAAGAAAAAGTGCTTTCTCTATGAGACTATTAGTTCTCAAATAATTATTAAAGCTCTAAAACAAGACTGCCCAAGCTGCAGTCCATGGGCCACATGTGGCCCAGAACAGCTTTGAATGAGGCCCAACACAAACTCATAAACTTTCTTAAAACATTATGAGATTTTTATTGCAATTGTTCTGTTTTTTTAGCTCATCGGCTATCATCAGTGTTAGTGTATTTTATGTGAGGCCCAGGACAATTGTTCTTCTTCCAATGTGGCTCAGGGAAGCCAAAAGACTGGACATCTGTGCTCTAAAAATAAATGTGGAGTTTAGAATAAATATGTATGATTAAAGCTAAACAAATTATGAACATTATATATTATCTTCAACTTTTTTTTCTTTTCTGGGAAATGGTATGGGAAATGGCAATTCATGTTGTTAGTGACCATATGATTCAAGAATAATATAAATTATTAAATACTTTAAGATATTCACTAACCCCAACTATTTGTTTTCATGATGTTACAGCTTAAAGTAAATGTGTATTTACCTTGCCAGGTCTAAAAAATACTTTGGTTAACCCAAACTTGTAGTCATTCTCATTTAAGCCCAAAGCTTTAAACAAAGCCTGAAAAATAAAAGTTAAAAAGTTAGTCAATTATTAATAGAAAAGACAAGTTTATAGCTAAGAAATTTCAATTTGGGTGGCATTTATACCTTACAAAATAGTCTTGGATCCAATCTTGCAAGTTTATCTGGCATATACTTTTTGTACATGTTGTAGAGTTCATGAAATGAAGCTCGTGATGGGAAACCACCCTGCATCAAGTCCAAAACAGACACCATCCCTAGATTCATGAACAAACACAAAGCACCGTCAATCACTGTTCGAAGTCCAAAGTAACTTGTGAATTATCAATTTTATAAGTTATTATTTAGAAATGGACAATTTATGAGAATTATCAGCAATTAAATATTATATAGGAAATATATTTATACTCATTATGTCCCAACTTATCCACCACCTAAAACTACTGTAGTCAAATTTCCCCTAAACCCAGTAAGACTCTTTTCTAGAGGCAAATTATTGATCTCTAGACAGATTTAACTGGGCACAGTGGCTCATGCCTATAATCCCAGCACTTTGGGAGGCCATGCCAGGCAAACCGCTCGAGCCCAGGAGTTAGAGACTAGCCTGGGAAACATGGCAAAACCCCATCTCTACAAAAAAAGAAAAAAATAGAAAAATTAGCCAGGCATGGTGGTGCGTGCCTGTAGTCTCAGCTACTCAGGGCGCTGAGACAGGAGGATCTGAGCCAAAGGAGGTGGATGCTGCAGTGAGCCTTGCAGGACACTGTATTCCAGCCTGGGTGACAAAGTGAGACACTGTATCAAAACAAAACTAAGGAAAGATCAAGTCTAGTTTGTATCTTTTTTTCTGTTAGAAGACTCTGTGTCACAAACGCAGTATATAAGGCAAAGCCCTGCATTAAACCACTTTCAAAGGCCTGAAGTTAATTTTAGAACAAAATTCCTGAAACAATCTCCAAAAAGTAGACACATTCCCAAGTTATCACCAGTGCATAAGGCAAACGGAAAAGAAAGAAGAGCTCACTGTTTCACTATAAAGACTGCCTTTCACTCACCTGTCAAAGCAACTAGACTACTGGGATGATTAATCTATTGGATAAATACCTATTTTCAGTATAACTCTAGTAAGTGGTTAATCTGAATCCGCAGTCAATGCGAGATTTTCAGGTCAGAAAGAGTGTAAAATAGGCAGGGAAAGGCTGAACAACTATAAGTGATGCCAAGACTTTTATTTACAAGACCTAGATTTCAGTCTCTGGGACTATTCAAATCAACGGAGAAAATAAGATTATTCAATAAACAGTATTATAACAAACGGCAAGCCATGTGGAAAACAAAAACATTAGATCCTTATCTCACTTCTTACACCAAAATAAATTACTGCTGGCCAAAAATTTAAATTAAAACAAACTCCAAGGCTTTTTAAACCAGTTAATTTTTATTTTAAAGTAATCTCACAGGAAAGATGGCCTTTCCAGGCAGTCAGATTGAACTTTAACCCATTTGACTGGCAAAGTTATAAGATATCAATTAGTACTCAGAGCTGATAACAGTGTAGGAAAACACACAGACGCATTCTTAGTAGCAAAGTAAGCCAGTGTAACAATTTTGGATGGCAATTTGGAAATATCCCTTTGGCTCAGTAAATCTATTCTATGTTTTTTCACACTTGTGGGCAAAGATATGCATGTGGACAATGTCCAGATGTCCTCTGGATCATTGTTGGCAACAGAAAAAAAATCAGAAAAAAACTAAAATATCAATTGATTATGTTACAACCATATGATGGGATGTGAAATATTGATTTAAAAGAATAGAGCAGAGCTTAATCTAACCAGTGTAAAAAAATATATCCAAGATGTAGAGTTAAGTGGTCACCCCTAAGAGCTGAGCTTTTTTGTTACTTATATTATTCTGTACTATTTAATTTGTTACTGTGAATTTTCAACATTAATGAAACACATACAAGAAATCATTCCCATGGGAAAAAAAAAAAAAAATCTCCAAAACTAGATTTAGCTCTAGGCTTTGCCTGGAGAAAGAAAAGTAAAGTTTGGTTAGTATCATCACAGTTTTTGGCCATTTGTATCAAATAAACAAGTACCTTTCGAAATGTACACATCTAAGTCTCCTGGCTTGCCCTGTAGCCACAAACTATAAACTGGCTCACAGTTCATTAAGAATTTCATGGTGCTTAACAAATTACCAAGCCTACAACTGCTTTCTCAGCACTTGAAACTAGTTTACTCTTAAGATGTTTTGAAGCTTAATTTTTTTTTAACCACTAAGGCGAATACTCTGCCTTCTAAACGTTTCCATGAACTGGCTTTTACTCTTGGAGTTTGGTGAGTGGCTTCTTGGTGCAGAGCTGGCACCCCTCTTTGCTACAAGACAGGCAGCACAGCCCCAAGGTTACAGAAGAAGGAAACTTGACTTCTCTCAACCTCCCCTACTTTGCCCTGGTGTTTGCCAATCAGAAGATAGTAATTTTAGGCCGGGCATGGTGGTTCATGCCTGCAATCCCAGCATCTCAGGAGGCCGAGGCGGACAGATCACTCGAGGTCAGGAGTTCGACACCAGCCTGGCCAACATGGTAAAACTCAGTCTCTGCTAAAAATACAAGAACTAGTCGTGCGTGGTGGTGGGCGCCTGTAATCCCACCTACTCAGGAGGCTGAGGCAGGAGAATCACTTGAACCTGGGTGGCAGAGGTTGCAGTGAGCCAAGACTGTACCACTGCACTCCAGCCCGGGTGACAGAGACTCTGTCTCAAAAAAAAAAAAAAAAGTAATAGTAATTTTAGTAAAAGGTGCCTTAAATTTATTAATTCTCTTTAAAATGAAAAAAAAAATGAAAATGGAAAGTTAAAATACAATCCAAATCTTAAATATCTTTATTTTAGAAAGCTTAATAAATATTTTTATTTCTACAACTTATTGATAATTTTTGCATATTCTCATCACCTAGCTACATGAGTGGAACAAATTCTATATCATTATTACTATTACAATATCTATTATTGGTACTTAAAAAAAATTAAAGTATAATGAATTGATATTATCTGTTAAAGTGCCAACATGTCTTAAGATGTTGAAATATACTGCTTATTGAAAGAGGAATCCTAGCTAAAAGATTCATCAGTAGCCCACACTCTCTCTGCTAATCTAATAGCATATACAGCTAAACCTAAACAGGTGCAACTTGCCAGGACACTAGGTGTTCACTTAGGAAATAAAGAGGAATCCAAATGGGAAAAAAAATCGACTTGAAGAAAATATTACAAAAACACAACTCTACTTTATGGAAGAACACAAGAGACATGAATTACTTAATTTTCCAGTATTTGTTAGAATTAGTCACAAATAAATCTTCATATTTTCTACACTGTTCATTCCATTCAACAAATATATACTGAGTCTAGTATATGCCAGGGAAGTAGAAATGTATGTGTAAGCCAAAACAGATGCAGTTCCTGCCCTCATGGGGCTTATGGATTAAAGGAGGGGAAAAATAAATAATTATACAAGTATGTACAAAATCTGTAACTACAACTGTGAAATAAAGGCACTTGAGCTCAGCACCCCAAACTCAGGCTCCCCCCCAAGTCAGGAATATCAAGAAAAGCTCTCATAGGAAGTGATGACACAGCTGAGATGTGAAAGATAAAGGAAACGGCGTGGCAAGAACATCCCAAACAAAGGAGGCAGCATGCGCACAGGCCCTGTGCTGGGAGGAAATATGCAGCATTTAGGGAACTAAAATGAAAGTCAGGGTGATTTGAGGACAGAGGGGAGAGAGAGAGAGTGGAAAGAAATGAAGCTAGGGACACAAGGGCCAGGCTCTATCGGATGTCTTCACCCTAATACTAATCTGAAGCCATCAGAGCATTTTAAGCAATAAAAGGACATGATGATTAGAGATGAGCTGTGGAGTGATAATTCTGGATGTATGTGAAAAACAGAATGAAGAGATAGGAGAACACTTAGGAAGCGACAGCAAAAATCCAGGTAAGAGATGGTAACAGCTTGGATTAGAGACTATCAGGATTCACTGTTTAGGAGGTTACATCAGCAGGACTGGGGAGCCTACCTAAGGGAATATACATCTGTGCTGTTCAACTTGGCAGTCACTAGCCACATGCTCTATAGTGACACTAGCCACATGACTACTTAAATTTAAATCTTTTAAAATCAAAATTAAGGCCAGGCATGGTGGCTCACACCTATAATCCCATCGCTTTGGGAGGCTGAAGGAGGAAGATCACTTGAGCCCAGGAGCTTGAAACCAGCCTGGGCAACACAGTGAGATCCTGTCCCTACAAAAAAAATTTTTTTTAATTAGCTGGACATGGTGGCACTATGCCTCTAGTTCCAGCTACTTGAGAGGCTGAAGCAGGAAGATCACTTGAGCCCAGGAGGTTGAGGCTGCAGTGAGCCATAATTGTGTCACTGCACTCCGGCTTGGGTAACAGAGTAAACCCTGCCCCTCCCAACCAAAAAAAAATTAAAATTAACCAAAATTTAAAATTTAGTAACTAACTCATTCCTAGCCACATTTCAAGTACTTAGGAGTCAAATGTGTCTCATGGCTACTAAATTGACAGATATGGAATATTTCCATCATTATGTAAAGGTCTTCTGGACAGTACTGACATAGAATGAGAAGAAAAACAGGTCTAACTTAAATCCTAAAAGATGATAACAAATATCCAGGTAGAAGAAAATGGGCCTGCAGGGGAATCAAGAATGGTCAGAGAATTCAAAAGAAAAGCATGGGCATAGGCCATGTCAGGAACCAAGAAAGAGTCAAATGTGGCTATGAAGTCCACTAAAATAAGGACTGCAAAAGGGACATTTGCTTCAGAACAAGGCAATCACTGGTGACCTCATCAAGGTGGGAGCTAAATTATCCCGGAGTTAAAGAGTAAGTGGAACGCATGAAGCTGAAAAAGCAAGAATAACCTATTCTTGGAGAGAAAAGAAAAACAGTAAGGAGGAGGAGGTAGCTGTAAGGGAATGTGGCTCAGAGATGAGATTTCAGCATGTTTAAATGGTAATGGGAAAGATCCATCTGAAAGGGAATAGTATGACAAACATAAACAATGCTGAAGATTCATGAAAAAGTAGGAAGAGATGGCTTTCAAGGAACTATAAGCCTCAACCAGGAAGAGAGGCAACCCCTACTTTCTTAACAGGAGGGACGGTAAAGTGGTAGGCAGAAGTGCTTGGTGGCAGACAAAGAGAAGCTTTAGGATATTTAGTGAAGGAGGTAAGCCCATCTGCTAGCAGACGCGCAGAGATCTGAGGAAAGCAGGATGGGTCTGACCAGTCTCTGATGAGAAACAGAACATGCTGACCAAGAAAACTTGGCAGGACAGGTTTGAGAGCCCTTTAAAGATCAGTGATGATGAATTTAACTGATGCCATCCTGTCTTGTCTATCAACCCTATGCAGATAAGAAGAAAAAACAGAATTAGATTCATCAATAGCTATGGTTTTGTGAGAAAGGTCAAGGGTAGATCCAGATTTGTGAGGCGGGGGCTGAAGCTTATACAGCTGGGGAGAGGCCTTTAGGGAAGCAGAAAATTACATGCAGGGCTTTGGAAGGGGTTTATTTAAATGAAGGACCCTGAAGCTTAAGTAACCTTAGCTTCATAGTAAATCTACCTCTCAAAGCAGCAAAATAAGGAGTCAGAGAAGAAGAAAGTGTAAGAAGTATCAGGAAGCTGAGCTGGACCAAAAGGTAAAGAAGAAAGAAGGCTGATACCTTGGGAAAAATTAGGGGTAGTGTTGGTGAGGAGGGAGGATGGGCATGACATAAAACAAACAGGGCAAGTCTGGTGCCTGAGCAAGGTCAGACACGGCAGGGTGAGGGGTAGGAAGTGATAGTTTAAATAAAGGCATGAAGTGTCACAGACACAGAGGGAATTGTGTTTTCTTTTTTTTTTTTTTTAAACAAGTGGTGGAATGGGAAGAAAGGACAACAAAACCTACCTTCTGACCGTCATGTGTGGAATGAGAAATGAACTACTGCTGGATTGAAAAAGCTGCCTACTTAAGGAAGATCCAGTTTTGCTGTTAGAGAGTTTTCATAAATGTTTAATGTGAAATTGTTTATTTCACAATATACAATATCTCAATATTGCTCAAATAATTTGCCATCCATGCTTTTCTTTTCTTTTCTAAAATAGATCTTGCTATGTTGCCCAGGCTGGCCTTGAACTCAGGCTGAAACAGTCCTCTTGCCTCAGCCACCCAAGTAGCTGGGACTAAAGGTGTAGGCCACCCACATGTGCCTCTATACTTTTCTTATAATTAAAGAAAATAGATGAAAATTTTATTGCACTGTAAAATAATCAAGATAATGGTGAATCATTTGAAAATATCCAACCTATTAAATTGTATTTGAGCTACAACTACTAACACACAGTGACAGAGATTATGAAAATACCTGAACACTGAAGCTGAGACAGAATTTGAGCACCTTCAAAGTGGTGACTTGTCATCTTTAAGTTAGGTTTGATGCAACGAATGAAGCTCGCTCCCTAGGAAAATAGAGGTACTTTTTGTTACAATACATATAGCATCCTTATTTTTCTGTTTCTATTAATACCTGCAACTTTCAAAGCATAGTAACATTAACATATGAACCTGTAAAAGTAATTACTAAAGAACTCAAGGCTGGGCGCAATGGCTCATGCTTGTAATCCAGCATTTTGGGAGGCTGAGATGAGCAGATCACCTGAGGTCAGGAACTCAAGACCAGCCTGGCCAACATGGTGAAACCCCGTCTCTACTAAAAATACAAAAATTAGCCAGGCATGGTGGTGGGCGCCCGTAATCCCAGCTACCTGGGAGGCTTAGGTAGGAGAAATGCTTGAACCCGGGAGGTGGAGGTTGCAGTGAGCTGACATCACACCACTGCACTTTAGCCTGGGTGACAGAGTGAGACTCCATCTCAAAAATACATATATAATAACTCAAAATTTTATAAGCATACTTTTTCTGATTTAAAGTTTACAATGACTTTTTGCATTATTAATGTTACAAAAATGTTACATTTTAGATTTGAATGTCAAAAACTGTAAAATGAAAAGTCTTTCACTGTAAAGTTTAACACATTTAATTGTTTAACATATTTAAACAATACAATTTGCAGGATGACGTACATGTGATCTTTTCTATATTTAAATGTATTTATGTATGCCGTATTTCTATAAGAAAATTTCCCTATGACAAAAGGAGTAAATAAAATTATGCCCCTTAAGATTTAAGCCAATGTGTAAAAGAAAACGAAACAATATTTACAATCATTCTATTTCAAAAATATACAGTAGGTCTCTAAGTCGCACTGTTGTACATTTTAACATTTTGTTAAACAATATTTTTAAAAGCTTAAAGGCATTCATTTGGAATCAGTATCATATTATGCTGAATGAGGTAAAAAGAATACTGATTATGTATACAATGAAATGTACTGTTGACTACTGAAATAATTAGACATCCAAATAACTGTTTCTCTTCAAAGTAGCCAGCCTGCAAAACGGAAGAACAATTTCAACAATGATGCCCCCTACAAACACATTTATTTATTTATTT